GCTTTCTGAAATACAAAAAAAGAGTTAATATGGTATATATATATATATATATATATATATATATATATATATACAGTACAGTCGTACATACAAACATTTAAGCCAAAAAGGAAATACAATAATGCCCATTAGAATTCCATGACCTTATCTTCGACGAATGCGTATCAGTGGGGAATTCCAGCATTCTTAAAGAGTATGCAGGTCTCTACTCAGTACTTATTGGAGGATTTTGAAATATATGGCTATACACTAGTTAAGGATCATCATTCTCATAAAATAAAATCAAGTGTCAACAATTGTACATAAATACAACTGAATTTTTTTTATTTCTTATAGTCAAAAATGAAACAAAATAACTTTTTTATCTTATATATTTTTGTCTTCTGCCTGAAAGACCATCTTTAAACTTTTCGAAGTTGTAAAAGTGTCCAGCCATATATATATATATATATATATATATATATATTATATACAAAAAAAAAAAACAACCTATATATATATATATATATATATATATATATATATATATATATATATATATATATATATATATATATATATATATATATATATATATATATATATATATATATATCCAATGAAAAAAAGTTAGAAATCACAAATATTAAAATTGTCTTATCGAAAAATCATTTTTACTGTTAGCGCTTTCTGAAATACAAAAAAAGGAAATACAATAATGCCCATTAGAATAATGGGCATTATTGTATTTCCTTTCTGAAATTTGAAAAAACGCTAACAGTAAAAATGATTTCAAATACTAGCTATGATATTGTTGATATTCTGAATAGAATGACTTTTTTTTATTAACAATAACCCCCCCCCCCAAAAAAAATAAAATAAAAACAAATAAAAATCGTCGATATTTATATATATATATATATATATATATATATATATATATATATATATATATATATATATATATATATATATATATATAACTGCAACTGCACGGGCTAATTGTGAACAGGATTACACCAGTGCATATAAAGAGAAGCGATATCACTGGCATTCTTTAAATTTTAATTATACCTTTTTAGCAATTTGAAGATCATTTGGGCTGGTATTATTGATTTTGAAAATAAACTTTAAGTTAATATATTCGATAAATTATTCGACTTTATTTCATCCCATACTGTACATGTATTACTGTAGTGTTCTATAATATTTTTGATAAAACCCATGTATTCAACATGTAATTATGTAAAAATCGATACTTTACAGGTGTTTAGTAAGTAACGGTAGCTGGCCCCGCCGCGGTGTAAACACGTAGTAGTGCTAGGTCTTTTTGTGTTCTTAATATTTCCAATTCAACATGTAATTATGTAAATATCTAGTGTTTAGTAGTAGTGCTAGGTCTTTTTGATACTGTTCGATCTTTCCATATATTTCATTTTATAATGTTGAAGGGTGTCAATGTTTTCATTCTCTCCGCAACTTATTCAAAACAACTGAATACTTATAATAACACAGATTCCTTATTACACATTGCAATTTTGATAACATAATGCAATTGTGTATTTTTAATTTTACTTTCTGATCTGACACTTATTTTCGGTCTTCCATAGCAAAACATTGTGCTTTTATAATCATATATTGTACGGGAGTTGGGGTATCAATTATTGAGCTTAGTGCTCACACTACCTCTAGTCCCTTTTGCAATAATGAAGACAAATGTTTTCGGTGTTTTCATTTATTTACTAAATTCTGTCCTTGAAAATTTTAAAAAAACTAAGTTATATCTCAGATTAGAGTTTGCCTTCCGTGTTTTCTTCCGATTTTCACTGTGTGAGACGTTCTGATATTTAAAAAAATTACTGTAAAAGGTGTGTCTTATATTTTTCCTGCTAATATACATAACTGACATCGGCTGTTGCAACCATTGTTAAAAACGTTGATTGGGGTGTGGATTGTGACGTCACAATACCGCTGCACTCGCATTGACCCTCCCGTGAATACTGCCCCGAATCCAGTGAATATTAAACTTTAAAAAAGTGTTAGGGTGGACACTCTCTGATATGTATATTGTGAAAATGCATAAATTGTTTGAAAGTCTTCTCTGCTACTGGGTGTTAAACAAATAAACGTTGTATATATACTAGTCAAAATTTCTAAGTCCCCATGCAAGATTTTGCTTTACACTGATTTTATATTGAATTATTTTAACAGTATAATTTAATAATTATAAGTTTACATAATGAAAAAGTAGCATTGCAATTTTTTCTCACTTAAGTAATTTTATTGAAGCACTTTAACACAATATGCAGAAATGTAAAGGCACCCTATAATTAAAAATTCACAACATTAAATACCGCATTATCCTCCATTCAAACAAATTCACATCAAGACAAAAGAGTTCACACTATTTAAGAAAAATTCTTTTATTGAATGTTTTTCCATGAGGAAACAAGGTCATCCTCTAGTTCCGTTCGATTCTGCTGCTGGAAAAGCTGCCTCAAATTCCGGTTTATCTTCTTCCGTACATGTTAATTTGGGTTGAGGTTAGGATGACAAGGGGCTTACCGAAAGTGTCTGTGCCTTGCTAACAAAAGTTACATAAAGTCTTATTACATGTGTATCCCACTCCTCAAGTTTGACATTGAGGGAAGTGCACTTCCGGTTCCGGTTCCATTGATTTTTCCGAGTAAACTCAAGGATGATTTGTTGTGTTTGTTGAAAATCTAGCAATTGCTAATGATTAGAAGGAATTCAGGTATGCTTTGTAGGTTTTTCGGGCGATAATTATAAAGGTTTTAAGTAAAATAAAATCATACAGTGAAAGGAAACTGGATTCTCGTTAACTACGACCAGCTTTGGTCATTTTAACTTCACTTTCACATTGTTGTGTGGATATACACCGCATTTTAATCTAACTTTTTTCTGTTTTTCGTTATCAATTAAAGATGGAGAACACATGGAAGAAAACAAAATGAAAAATACATCCGACAACATATGGAATTCAAACTTCATGCTTTTTAACAAAAACGATCACGGTCGAGTAATTACACGTTCGATTACAATTTTTTTGGCCTTGACAGGTAGGTTTTGCAAATTAAAGGCAAAATCATAAGTGACTAATACATTGATGCTAAGGTTTCGAAGTTTTTGAAAAAATAAAAGTGGGGACTTAGAAATTTTGCCAGTATAGCTCTGATGAGGAATGGCTCTTCATTTAAAATTGAGAATTTTATGGCCCCTTGATCAGGGGTTATGGTTTTAGTGCGGGGCTCTAATGATTGTAAAAATAATAAACAAAGTATATACATGTAGATATGATGAACAAGGACTCTTCTTCAAAAAGTTTGAATTTCAAAGCCCCTACGTCAGTTGTCCTGGGGGCTCTAATAAGTGTATTCTGAAAATGAATTAATGCTTTGAAATCTGCTCCTAGGTATTAATCAAACATTCATGATGAGCGATGGAGCTTTTTCCAAAAATGTGAAATGTGTGGCTCCAGCTGGGTCAGCTAGCGGTTCTCGTATGGTGGGGCACTACCAATTTTTGCTGATTTTTACAAAGAAATAGAAATGCACATTTTCTTTGATCAAATTTAAAGCATGCAACTTATATATTTAAAATGAGCAATGCTTCTTCTTTCACAATTGTGAATTTTATGTCCTCTAGTCATAGTTTAAAACACGAACCAAATTCATTTGTTTGAAACTTGCTACATGATACTCAGGTGAACTATAAGCCAATGGGCCTCTCGTTTATCGACTTAGGTCAGTCACTGTCGAGATTTTAATTCACGACCTCCCCATCACATAGCAAGCACTCTTACTGAACTGCATAAGAGTTTGGGTAAATATTATGTAAAATAATGTGATAATAATTAGGTTCAATGCATTGGCTTTTGTCCATTTGCTAAATCAAGTACTGTCTGAAGTCATGACGTCAGCTAATGAGAACAGTTTGGGGAAACATTGATATCCATTTCCGTAGTAGCCAGTAAAAAACAAGACATTTCTCTGAGGTAAACCAAGCCTTTTCTAGTTTAAATGAAAATTTCGCTAATAAGCATCAATTTGATAACACAATGCAAAATCTTTATCAAAAAGAAGTCTAGATAAATTAACATCCTGAAGCAAGGGCGGGTTTTGTCAAATTGAAAAACGAAAGTACTAATGATACAGCATACTCTTGGATAAATCAAGGGTCTATCTCATGGATAGTATCCACTGCACTTATTCATGATTTGTGGTTGGATATGATTTTTATCCAATGAGGTGTGTTGTTTTTATAAGGCAGTAGAGGCCAGGGGATTAAAAACACACGACTTGTTGGATTAAAATCATATCTATCCACAAATCAAGGGAATTTTATGTTTTGTATTTTATACATCACTATCAATGTTTTTCATTGTTTTATATAGGAATCCATTTTATTTTAAATACTTCATAACTCTAGCAAAACCCATTATGAGATCTCAGCTGTAGGATAGCATAAAAATATATCCATTGATATCCACAGGATAAATTTGGGATAAATAGAGAGAGAGAGAGAGAGAGAGAGAGAGAGAGAGAGAGAGAGAGAGAGAATGTAAGGTTCTTGCTGTTTAATTTAAAATATAAATGAGAAATTTAAATTTAAATCTCTACTTCATTGAACTTCACAAAAGTTATATACAGCACATGTAATTTAATTAATATCATCTGTTTGATAATTTGTTAAGTTCTTCTCCATTGTCTTTTTACTTAGAAGTTCATTTTTCACATAGATATGAAAATACTGTATTGAATATATTTATTGTTATATTCATACTTTGCAAAACTATATACATGAAGATATCTGTCTTAGATAAATACTGCTTGTTTAGTGTGTTTATTTCTATTAATTAATGTACATATCAAGTATATAAGATAGGTTCTGTCATTCTCTTATAATTAAGACACAGTCTATGTTTATTTCAAGTACTGAATCACTTTTATATCTTCTGAATCCTTTAATCCTACCCATAACCTCCCCTCACTGTCTACACACTACCCACAACAAGGTCTCTCTAATCCATAATTATCCATACATCTCAGGAACTGTCCATTCTGATCTAGAATGTGTAGACACGTATTGATATCATCCACCACAATGATGTGACTCATTGAATCTGTCACTATCTTCCCAGGAATAAATGATTTCCTCTTCTGGCTGGTGTACCATCATATCGGAATCAGACTCTTCCTGTCTTGTCCACTACGACCACAATGTCAACATTACGATCAGACATACAAATGTATCCATTATTTTTGCTGCAAGATTTAATATACTATTTCCTTTTTCGAAAATTGTATTTCCATGTTCATCTTTTCCTGCTTCAGTATTTCTTTCTGATAACGTAGTATTTTGTATAATCTGTTACCATAGACACTGACCAGTTGCAACCCTGACCAGGTCTTCATGGTATCCAGCCTGGTGTAATGATCCTTACCCTTGCCTTTCTACTTCTGACTGACTGACAGTTTGATTGATATCACTACTGTAGAACAGGTCTCCCTGTCTGGTCACGGAGATGTCATTAGGACAGATTAAACATTCGGTAGAAAAAGATTTCTGTACAGACCCATGTATATCAACACAGTATATGTCATTGTGTTACCACTTACCCAAGCTTTACCTGTTCCTACACAGGCCACTCTCAACTAGTTTTAATTGTAACGGGGAATGTCACAGATGTTCCCCAAACGCTCCCCAACTCCCTGTTGTGCCATTTTCCAGTGAGACTTTTTTAAAAAAAATATGCTCAGTATCAAAGGAAAGAATTATTAAAACTACAATGATATCAATTATAATTCATTTAACGTATTGCACGCGCGCATACTTGCATGCACATGCAAGATGATCATGACATGTTGTTTAAACCATTAACATATCTTTATATAGCGAGTATCAATAAAAATATCATAAAAATATATATGTTACTGTTATTTGAAAATATTGGCGATTTTACGTATTGTGCGTGCACAAGTGCATACATGCATGATGTCCTGCAGTAAAATGCGATACATATAGTAGCATAATGTAGGAATCTATTATACCTATTCATATTTTGAATTTCATCCTGTTTCGTTAAGAACTTAGAAAGTTATAGGCATTGAAAGTTTCAGCCAATCAGATTTCAGCACACGTACGTGCATGCGCATGCTTTCATGATAATTCTTATATGTCTTGCAATAGATCTTCATAGTGCATGAATATGTTCAAATTTCATAGGATTTTGTCGAAAAACAAGAAAGATGTTGAGACTTTAGTTTTAGCCAATCAGAGCAAAGTGTAGGTGCATGCGCGTGAGATCTTGCTTTAATGACCATTTCGTTATTTCTCTACTACTAATTTATCCTCACATTATGAATTTCAAAGCATTTCTTTCAAAAAAATTTGAAAATTTGCTGTTATATCTATTATATTGGTTATTTCACGTGTTGCACGTGCGCGCTCTTGCAGACTCGTTCGTGCAAAAAGACATTGATTCCGTAAATCTACATAACATGTCTTCTGACCCTAAAAAACTTGACCTAAATCGCATGAACAGTTTACAAGATCACTCCCGGACAAAAAAGTACCCAGGAAGAAGAAGAAGAAAAAAAATAAGAAGAAGAAGAAACATTGTAAAAACAATATGTTCCCCAACTTCGTTTGGGGAACATAATAAACGGTTAACTTTGGTGGATATCACTCTGGCTTTGTCTAATAACTCTCTCGTAGATAAATAGGGAACTTCATCTGTTGGCCTTGGTAATGCAGTCTGTGTTAATGTAGCCTTGTATTCTCCTAATTTTATGCTAAGTTTTCTCCCTTGGACAGTTGTTGTATTCATTGGGGGGATTTTGCCATCAATATCAGCAGGTATGTCTCTGTATTCCTCCAGTTTGGATTTGTAGTATTTGACTTCAGACACCCTATTAGTCTGCAAGATTTCTTTGTTTTGTTCAACAGTTTGCAGTATATCTAGAATAAGATTTTTTAACTTGGATTCATGAGATTTAAGAGAACTGAGATATTTGTATCTGCTGGACCTGATCAAAGATCTAAGTTCGCTGAAGATGTTTTGCACTTCTTTGTGCCATAGTTTTCTTTGCTTTTCTGCTTCTTTTTCAAGTTCATCAAATTTGGCTGTTGATATGGATATTTTTCTGACTATATTGTTCATTTTGGTCATGTATTTGGGAAGAATAATGGATTCAATTTCTTGATTTTCTTTTTCAATTTCATTTTTCAGTTCATTGGAAATCTCCTGCATTTCTACTATATTGTGTCCTCTATGGGAACTAAGAATGCATTTCAGACAAACATGGACATCACACTTTTGGCAGTGGGCCTCACATCTCTGGTTGGAGTGAACCTTACACTCAGGAAACACTGGTTGTATCTTCCTGTTGGTGAAATGAACAATGTCGTGTGTTTGAGACTTGAATGTATCCACATGTTTGCTGACACAGTCCAAACACAAACTGACTTGACAGTTGTTACAGAACTGCTGAGTAGGCTTAGGACAAAGGTCACAGGTGATCAGCTCTTGTGCCCAGGAAGAAGAAGTGGCCATTGTCTCTAGCAGGAACTGAAATTATAATTTAAAAAAAAGAATAAATAAAAGTTACATAAATTAGATGCATTGAATGACCATTTCAGCATCAACTACACTGTACTAAAAAATTTATTCAGAGAGCGAAGTAAAACATTCGGAAAAAAGAGAATATAGCTTAATTGAAATAATATTTAAAGGTATCTATAATGATAAACTGTAATGAAAATCTGTATTGAGTTACCTGTATAGTTCCTACTTGTCAAAGCCGACTGTTAAGAAACAGTAAGTATCTCATCTCCCTTTCTCAATATACACCAGACTTGAAAGAACTTTCGGTTTGATATTTTATTTTTCCTGGTTTTAGATTTGTCTTGCCTGTCTCATTGATAGGCGCGATATAAGTATATTTTTTGTAAGATAAGAACAGGTCATACGAGTCTACCTAGTTACCTATTTATCATGTCATTTACCATGTGCATTCTGTTTACTTATTTTTATCAGTGATCCATTTTTTCACCTAATAAAAACTACTATCGAGAAATTTAAAAGGCAATATTGATCATGATATAAACCTGATATTTGGTGTTGCATTTCTCCAATAAATTGGTTATTAGAGTCCTACTGGTAAAAATTTATAGAACCAGATAAAAATGCAGATAATTTTCATAGACCATGAGTTTAATTACAAATTACAATCATATATTATAGCAAAGTCAATTAAAGTTTTCACTATGCCTTCATGCAAGCTAAAGCTGTGGGAAAGGATAATAAATGATATTCTGTCATATTTTAGAATTTCTACGCCACTACATCAGCCATAACATTAACTGATGTATTCTCTTTGACAAAAGAATTGACCTATAGGAGAGAAGAATATCCCGGAAAAAGTGACATTCAAAAATTAATCTTTATTTGTTATTTTCTATCGTATATATGTTTAAATTTTTCAAATTTGTATTTTATACCTAATGTCTATTACTTAAAACTGTACAATAAACCTCCAAAGTTGGCCAAAACACCATTTTGTCCGTTAAACAGGTTGGGCTTCGCTAAGAAAACTTCGCTAACTTTTAATTCATTTTTTTTTCATAAATAATATGCCAACACCGCGTGATTCACTAGACCAGTTATTCCATATAGAATTAGTACCGTTAAATTCTTTCCATTCATGTTTCCATCTCTCGGTATCTAAATCAGTTCCGTGAGTCTCTTGTAAACAAACTACATCATATTTACAGGTACGCTTGCTCAACCATGAAAATATACACATTCTTTTTCTTTTATCCCTTAATCCGTTAACGTTTATAGATGATATATGCAAAGACTTTGACAATTTGTAGGGGTAATAAAAAGTTTTTTTCCCGCTTATCAATATTTGATTTAAAAAAAAAATAAACATGCTAAATGTGTACAATTTTTGGGGGTAATAAAAAGAATTTCCCTCATAAATATTTGATTTGAAAAAAAAATTGAACGTGCTAAACATGTACATGTTTGTATTTATTCCTATGAACACATGCTTAAATGCAAATCGTTAGTATACATTGCACAAAAAATGACTGTTAAAAAAAAAAAACACATACCCAAACATATGTACATTATTATACAATGTTAAATTATGTAAGGTTCACGTACATTCGCTACATTCAATAAATTTTGGGACATTTGCCTTGCTTCTCCGCGGATGGCAGTGTATGAGAACTTAATTTTCGTTTTGACATGCTTGGGGTCTGAGGTTCACTGTCATCCAAAGTTTCTTTTTGCTCGAGAAACGCCATCGCAATTTTTCCGGCACCTTCACTGCTTATGTGCACGCCACTTGGATCGGTAGGGTCGTACAATGATTTGATCGCGTGACCTTGATCATTTACGAAAAGACTGTATGTGTCAATCATCTGAGTTCTGTGATCCTTTTCGCAAAGTTTTTTCAGGAAGATGTTCACTGTGTTTGTTGTTTCATTTCATTTTTTTATTACGGCACCATTACCTTTCCTTGGAATAATCGTGCTGACACTTATAGTTGCCGATGGATAGGTTTCTTTAATTTATTGAGACCCATAAGCACGTTTACATTTATTTCACTAGGGTTGTCCCGATGCCTTGATATATCATTTGTGCCTAGATTTACTATGATATTTTGGGGTATAGAATCACCAAGTTTCTTATTCGCATGATTTAACAACTCTGACATGTTTTCATATGCTGCTCCTGACACAGACACAGGGGTCAGTTTTGGGAGCCTGCTGCAATTTCAATTTAATGCACCGAGTACTATTGTGTCGATGGGTTCATCATTTTCACCATTTTGTTCAGCGCTTTCATCATCATGCATCGCTTCGTTACCTTCCAGAATTTCGGAGGCATATTTTCCATATTTTAGGGCAAGTTTTTCAGCAAGTTTTTGACAGTCGTCTTTGTCGTGACCTTCTTGTTTACAGTATCGACACACTGGGTCGTTTTGACAGTTAAATGCTATGTGACCTGATTTATTGCATTTAAAGCACACTACTTTTTGATCAGGTTTGTTTGGGCATTTAAACGACGGGTGATCGGTATTTTTACAATATAGACACTGTGTTCTATTGTTATCAGCAAATAATCGAACTTCGTGATCTCCGTAGTGTGTTCGATTGGGGAGAGTCGAAACACAGTTTAAGATTTGTAGGTATCTTGTTCCGGTTTCAATACTTGTGTTTTTAATTGTACCTCGTTTTATTGAACCTGACACTACCTGTCTATAGACCATCATGTGTGTGACGATGAAGGAATCGTCTAGTTCGACTGGGGCATCTTTAATGGTAACATTTGTTATTTGTTTCTCTACATCAATCAGAGTGATGTTTCTGTTTCTGACCGTTAAATCCGACATAAGAAGATTTTCCTTCACCTGACTATCTCGAAGAGTAATTATGCAATCACTTTCGGTAATTTGAATAGCTTTAATGTCATTGTTTTCAACTTTTTCCAGTAAACCATTCAATATATCCTCGTGAGTTATACCCTTGAAATATTTGGTAGAGAAGTGTAGAGACAAATGCCTCGATACTTTTGACATGCTGAGTAGTGTTCGATGAACTGTTCACCGACTTGTTTAGATGTGCAAATAGTTATGCAAGCTAAATACTAAGTAATGCACTTTCACTATACCTGTTATACCTGCATACTATAGCGGTGAAACATCTGTTGATTCTCAGGCATGGGTCGCTCTCGAATAAAGAATTCACAGACCAAAACCTAAGCAAGTACTCGGAGCGGTAAAAAATCCGTGTCGACCATGACAAGGGCTGTAACTCTCCCTAAAACTTTTATAGTTTTAATTTTTCGCCTTTTCATAGACTATTTTATTTTTTTTTATAGACCTCTGTATTTACTTTCAATTATCTATCCTTTATGCATGCCAATTCTTGATATAAGGAATACTAAAGAGAGATCAGATCGTAACAATCCAATGTACAGTTGTCAGTCAGGCGGAACAATTTAAGCACACTTTCTCCAAGGACAAGAAAAGCTCACTTTGTGTTACTCGATACAGGTATTCTTGGCAGCATTGAGCTGCGATGAATTTCATTTGTATATATTCCTTAGAATCTAATCACTTTGACTTTGTCTACATATATCAGAAACTGTTTTTCTTGGATTTCATTTAGGCTTATATATTTTGCACACATTAATGGCATGTTTTAATATATCCACGGATAAATAGCCTGAACGTAAAGAATAGAATTTCAGAGACAGTAGACATTACCATTAAGCACAATGAGAAGTAAAGAAAAATATCAATTATTATGTTTGGAGATAACAAACTCAGAAATCTATGAAAGGGCTCAGCTCCTATCTCTACTCACTGAAATAAAGATTTAGGAAAAACAAATCGTTATATGTATTCAGCCTAATGTTATTAATCAAAACGGAAATCTGCAAGCTTTTTGTAGAGAATAAAACCAAGCCCGGCCCTATAGGTCAAATCCCTATTTATAATGAAATGATACTTATTATACATTAATTTTGTTGACTAAGTTCGATGGCAACATGCGTTTTTCTGACCCAAGAACCAACTGTTTGCCTGGGGCTGTAAGCCAACATTTTGGTTCGATGGGTCGACAAAACGCATGTTGCACGAGAACACGGAGAATAAACGTTTTGAAATACCTTTTTTTATTTATTTATTTTCAGACATACATGTATCTTGTGCTAGCTTCCATAATTTAAATTTACTTAACTAGTATATTTCATTTAACCTCGAGTAATTCTGCCACTATCAAACACCAATGAATGAGTACAAGATTAATCTGATCAAGGCCACAATGTGACGTAAGCGTTCCATTATCTCAGCAAAAAACCCAATAATTCATCGAAAGGTCTAATATGTCATCGAAAGATCCTATATTTTATCGAAATGTTCATTATCTCTTATAAAGGTCCAATATGTCATAAAAAAGTCAAGTATGTCATCAAAAGGTCCAATATCTCATCGAAAGGTCAAATATCTTACTCGATCTAAGATCTAAGTCTCGATCTAAGTCAAATATCTACTTTATGACTTTCAATAAAACTTTGGTAATAAAATATCAGACTTTTAAGAAGTATAGATTTAATTAATAAGAACCAATATATAAAACTATAACAATTTCAATGCAGAATCTGATTAGTCGATTTGATTTGTCTTTATAGGTGATACCACTTAAGGACAGTATGTACAAGTACTTAAAACACCACTCATAAAAGAAACTGCCGCTTTTACCAGGTAGGCACTGTAGTATGGAGAATAGAAAATAAAAACCTAAAATATGAATGAAGAAGAAATACTCCGAAATTGTACATCTTACTAAATGACAACGAGGAATAAACACCAAACCGTAAGTATTTAAAGTATTTTTCATTCTGGTTCATGTAAGAGCGGTGTTTAGTATAACGCTACTTCAGCTGATAAGGTATATTTAATTTCTCTGTCGTAATCAATGCATAGTATTCAAACTATTTTGTAGGTTGCTTTGTTTTTTGGGTATTTTGTCACATTTCACAACCATTTGAAGCTTGCTTGTAAATAACTTTGTATACTTGAAGTTTAGATATTAAAGTTCAACGTTTATCATCCCGCCCACAATCTTCTATCTTTCAGACAAAAAAGGTATTTATTACAAAAATAATTGAGTTAATATAAGTGTATCACTGATTTCTCTCGACAAAAATTGTAAGTGCTCCTGGTATTTGCCTTGCATTGAGCATATCGAGGGTTTAATAATACTAAAGTTAATGTAAGAAATAGATCTGGGAATGAAATAAATAATTTTTCTGTTGTAGTTTTCATACAATAAAACCGTAATTGATCATTTTGTAAAAAAGATAAAGATAATTGTTAAAAAATTGCAAAACATCGTTATGCTTTGTGATTCTATTAATATTAAACTTATAATTGATATATTATCATAACACTGTTTCAAAAAGAATGCATATAACCAAGGAGTAATCTATGTACCCTCAAAGAACTTTGTCTTTGATCAATGATTCAAAAAATCTCCAAAAATAATTTTAACTTTGAAAAATGGAGCATTCAATCAATTTTCTGCATTAATAATTTATTTACAGATTCATTAGAGTTATGAAAGGGTCACTCCCAACTTATGGGCTCAGGAAATCATCACGTGTGACCTGTGTGATGAAACCAACAAGCACTTTTGTAACAAATGTCAAGTCAGTTCGTGTGTAGATTGTGTCAGTGCACATGTGGAAGAGCTCCAGTCTCTCCCAAACGACAGTGTTCCTTTCAAATCCAGAAAGATACAACTAGCATTTCCACACACCGAACAAAGATATGAGGGCTACTGTCAACAGTGTGACATTATTGTTTGCATGAAATGCATCATTTCTTTTCATATTGGACATGACTACAGGATATGTCAAACAACTTCATTGACAAGTAAACATATATTCAGAAGGAAAATCAGGAGAAAATCATATAGAAAGGAGAAAGTTCAAACACAGGAAAAATTTTATGAGGTTAAAAAAGAAAGAGAAAGGCACAGAAAATTTATGGCATCTTTAATGAGCTGAGGTGTTTGCTCAAATATACGTGAGATAACCACCTGAACTTAAATCACACCAAACCAAACTCAAAAACCTAGTTTCAGACATGATTAAAACAGTTCAAGAAAACAAAGAAATTATCAAGTCCAATCAAGTTGCTAAAATCACAAACTTCAAATCTAGACTCGTGGAATACAGGTATATCGGTCTAGATATAGATTTGTCAGTTTATGTACTTCAAAGAAACACAGATCAAAGGAGACAACTTAGTAAAGAGTTGAGTGAATACAAGGTTCCCTGACAAAGCCATTCCTACAGGAATCAAACCACTACACATGTTGGCCTGTTTATGAAAAGAAAGTTTTGGCTAGTAAAAAAAACGGTATCGTAGACTGTCTAGACTGTCTAGACATAAACGGGTCATTACAGGAAACTGTTGTGATTCACAACCTGAAGATATCTCTGAGACCAGAAGTGGAGACGTAATATACAGTGATTATGGGAATAAATCTGTGAATATTATAAAACACGGAAAAACAAAGACATTGATCACAACACAAAGGGACTGGAAACCAACAGGACTCAACGTTACCAGATCAGGAGACATATTGGTTAATCAGTATATTGGAGACAAAAAACAAGATTGTCCGTTATCAGGGAAAGAAGGTCAAGCAGGAGATATTTAAAGATGAAAATGATAAATTTATCTATGGAAGGGGTAAGTGGACTCTTTTTGTTGCAGAGAACAACAATGGAGATATATGTGCCTCTGACCGTAATGCTGACGATGTGGTAGTGGTGGACAAGACAGGAAGAGCACGATTCCAAAAAGATGGTACGCCTGCCATAGGGAAGAAGAAATTTGATCCCAATGAGCTAGTGACAGATTCCATGAGTCAGATCATAGTGACAGACTGGACAAACGACTGTTTACACATTCTGGATCAAATGGGGAGTTCTTGAGATGTGTGGATAATTTCAAATTATCAAGGCCTCTATGACTGGGTTTGGACAGTGAGGGGAGGTTGTGGGTTGGCTTATATGAAAAAGGAGACGTGAAGGTGATTCAGTACACGAGATAGACATATATTTAGAATTTAAAGCATTTCAAATTATGACATACAAGCTATTACAATTTGTTACATGTTGTTTGTAAGTTCATAATTACATTATAAAGTTGCATATAATGAAATATGCATATCTTTTTACAAAAGCATTTTTGCAAATTTTCACGATGACTTTACAACACACTGCAGACTTTACATGGTGAACATTAACACGTTGTTTAGAATGATAAAGAAAGCAAATACCATCTTACTTCAAAGTATTATAAATATATATATATATGTATAACAGTAACTTGATCCGAAGGGTTGTATCACGTCAAGTTGACAGGCACGGATCATCAGATCTAACGAGACGCGAAGCATCGAGTTTGATCTGATGATCCGCGCCTGTCAACGAGAGGTGGTACGGCTCTTCGGATCAAGATACTGTTATAATGATAAATTTATTATATACCCCCTTATAAATAGCTAAATATAGCAGAATAAAACTTAAGAGATCAATTGTATAATAATTATCCATAAAACAAAGCATGATAAATAGGGACTTTTTAACGCGCAAGAAAAATAACGTCATGCTTTTGCGTACTACGTCATCAGTTTCAGAGAGTGGTGATATGGATTCAGAAAACCACAGTGTGGTGATCAGAAAATCGGATCAAATTCTGTTAAATTAACAGTAAGAAAACAAGAAAATTGATGGGTATATTTTGGGTAAGAAGAGTTATTTTGCCTTTGTACATGTTGAATACATTTTTGTATATTAAAAAGTTCTTTTTGCTGTTTTAACGTCGATCTTGAGAAATTTCACTCAGACAGTGATTTCCGATGGAATGCTACAAATTCATAGCTATGCTCAGCACTCAAGGCCATTGAGCAGTGCCTACATCCACCGCGATACGGGACATTCGAAGAACCGGTCTCCACGTCCCACAGTTGGTTCAAAACCGCGGCGTAATAAAGAAAAGTCGTAAAAAGCGCTGCCACATGCCCAACAATGATGACTTCAAGTAACCAGTCTTTATTCATTTTAACAGGAAGATACATGTATATTAACGACTTTGCATTAAATAAAAATATTTAATTTTTATCCCTTCGTTCACTCTTCATTTTCTTTTGAACTTGACATAGAATATTAAACAAATTAAAGTCAGACACATTGTTCAATATGTGAATACGTATATTTTACTAGTAAAGACGTTAAAGTTGCAGAGACACAGATTTGAAGAAAATATTTTCTGTATAATATCACAACTGATATATTGTAAACGCATTTCACACGAAAATAAACTAAAAACATTCGTTTATAAAAAAGTTATTCAAACATTAAATAATTTGCTGGGTTTTTAATGACACATCCTTGTAATTTCACAAATTTTAATTTTATTCTTACTGCTCAGGAAAAGTGTCAATCTTGTGTTAATGAAAAATATTAAAACTCTCATCTTATAATAACTTTAAAGTTTCAATAACTTTTACATGTGTAGATGAATAAGATTTTTAATTCATTTTTGTGTGAAATGCTACTACATTATAAAAGTCGTGATATTATACAAAAATATAAACTTCAAATCTGTGTCTATGCAACTTTAAAAATAGGTAAACGATTATGATAAACAATGTGGCTTCAGGCTGTCTTTCACCAACTTCTTTTTTATGTACATGTAGCTATGTACCATCGCCACTTATGACAACGAGCACACGGCGGGTGTGACCGGTCTGCAGGGGATGCTCACTCCTCCATGGCACCTGATCCCACCTCTGATGGACGTTGAGATTGAATACTGTTCGTTATTTCCATATCCTTTTTTGTAATGGACTTTATGTAATACATGTGACACAAATGAACTTGTGATGAAATTTATTAAAGATAATTTTCGAAACATAGATGTAGAAGATTTGTACATCAGAAAATAACCAAGTAAAATCTCATAAACAAATGTCAATGCGTTCACACACAAACACACATAAAACTTTCTATCGTATCAGAATACTAGCAGTCTAGAGTAAAACTGTATTTTCTTGATGATGGAATGTCCACTCAATCTAATTTTCTCTCAGACAATATACGGCATTCATTAAAACATCATAACACATTTTTCCAACTATCACACATACGAGTCGGACACTCTTTATAGTGGAGCTTGACGATTATTCCTGAAATAAATTCTAAGTGTCAATTTCCTTTGCACTATCTAAACATTAATTCTTTGATAAAAAAAATTAACTATTTGTCCAAAAAAATCTCAATAAAATCAATTTTTTATAGTTTAAATTAATTATGTAAAATTTATATATCACGTATATCTTCCAGTTGATTTGACAAGCAAGGACATGCTCTACAATGGATTTATTACTCAAACAGGGCAAATTATTGACATATAATTTGATGACAGAAGAATATCCAGAATCCAGTTTAAAGTTAAAACTAATAATCGCTAATATTATCCATCATTTAGTAAAAATGTTGATTGACATTTTCATATTATTATTTACACTCTAAATTGTCTACGGATTTTTCCGTCTTTCTCGACCATGAAAAGTAGTGTACTGTAGGTATTACCAGTCGGCAGGGGATGTTCACTCATGGAGACACCTGGTCCCCTCTCCTATGGTTTGGATTTTCGTGATGGCTCTACTTCTGATTTTGTGTTCTTATCCCCACCCCATATCTTTATTTTTATAGTCAGTATTCCGTGAATTGTGTGATTAATGACATTACAATTAATATCAATTGAATGTGAAGATAGTTATTCACGAAATAAAAATCCTTCAGGAAGTTTTTTCTGCGTCGTAAACTAGTATCAAAAATTGAATGTTTGCAGAATGATTAAAGATGTACTAAAGTAATCTTTACACGTTATCTAACTCTAACTATATCTGAACTCATATGAACTCTGAAAAGTTTGGTTGAAAATGATAACAATATCAATATGAAAATACACCCCTAATCTATAAGTAATATTGGGGCGGTGGCAAGAAGAATAGTTTAGATGACTGAGAAAAATAGATCATCATATCCTGTTGCGACCGATTTCTGAACTCTGGAATTTATTATCTTTCACAGCTGCCTTTTGTTTCCTACTGAAAAAAATACAGATTCAAGTTTCGACAATAAGGCAAGAAGATGGATAGCAATACATCAATTTCCAGTGCTCAAAAAATCATCTCATGTGATCTATGCGACAACTCTATCCAACATTTCTGTAACAGGTCTCAAGTCAGTTTATGTGAAGAATGTATCAACAAACTTGTGAAGAAGGACAAGGCAATTACCCATGACAGCGATCCTTTCAAACATGGAGAGATACGAATAATTTTTCCAGAGTGTGAATTTCACCCCAGTCATTGGTGTGAGGGCCAGTGTAAACTGTGTGATGTCCCTGTTTGCATGAAATGCGTCATCACTTCCCATAATGGGCACACCATGATAGATATAGCAGACATCTTTAATGACAAGAAAAAGGAAATCCAAAAAGAAACTAAAGAAATCGAATCCGATCTTCTCCCTAAATGCATGAAGAAAAATGAAGACACGGAAGGAGAAATAACCAAAACTATGGGGAAATATATTGAACTTGAAAAAGAAAAAGAGAAACAAAGAAAGTTTTGGCACCAAGAAGTAGATGACATCTTAAATCAACTGAGCTCCATGACCCAGTCCAAGAAAGATGAGCACCTGGATGACCTGAAATCACATCAAGCCAAACTCAGAGACCTGATTGCAGACATGAACAAAACAGTTAAAGAAAATCAGGAAATGCTTCAGTCGAATAAAGTGTCCCAAGTCACCAACTTTAATTCCAGACTGAAAGAATACAGAGATATATTCCTGAAGTTATTGATGTTTTCATTCCTTTGTTGAAAACCAACACAGTTCAAGAGAGAGAACTCGGTATCGAGCTTGGAGAATACAAGGTTAGACTGACACAGACATCTATGAAAGAGTTATTAAGCAAAGCAAGAGTTATTGCAACTTTTCCTACTGGAGTCAAACCACTATTAAGAGTAGTTTGTGCTGGAGATGATAAATGTTGGGTAAGAGAAAAAGGAAGAACCATAAGATGTGTTGAAAAACTTGGATCCCTGCATGATACTGTAACACTAACATTAAACTCCTCCCATGATAGCCCAGTACCAAAAGAAGAAGAACTAATTTGTATATCAGTGAATAAACAGGGAGATCTGATATACAGCGATTATAACAATAGAACTGTGAGTCTTTACAGACATTGGCGATCAGAGGTAATAATCACCACACCAAATAATTGGAGACCAGCAGGAATGTGCACCACTAGATCAGGTGATATATTGGTCAATCTTTATAATGGAGATCAAAACAAGATTGTCCGATATCAGGGAGAGAAAGTCAAGCAGGAAATATTTAAAGATGAGAATGAAAAAGCAATCTATGGAAGTGGTGAATATATGCTGTTTGTAGCAGAGAACAGCAATGGAGATATATGTGCCTCTGACCGTAATGCTGACGCTGTGGTAGTCTTAGACAAGACGGGAAGATTCCGATTCCAATACGATGGTACACCAGCCAAAAGGAAGGAAACATTTAATTCCAAGGAGCTGGTGACAGATTCTCTGAGTCACATCATTGTGACAGACTGGACCAACGACTGCCTACACATTATTGATCACGATGGACAGTTCCTGAGATGTATAGATGATTGTGATCTATCTAGACCTCGCGGACTGAGTTTGGACAATGAGGGGAAGTTGTGGGTGGGATTGTATGAAAAAGGAGAAGTGAAGATGATCCAGTATACGAAGTAAAGAGTTTAAGTAAAATTTGCTAGATGGTGATAGCGTGAAACTCGTTTTCTTGATAATTACATATTTATATAATTCATATCATTATGATATCAATAATTATATTGATTTTTCTTCTTTATGGCCCTTATTTCACCTCTAATATTTTTGAGGTCTGTGTTTGCTCTGCCTCTATTTTGTATTGTTGTATGTACTTTTGATCATGAATACTGTTCATTATCTCCGTATGTTTTATCAACTGACATTTAAATGTTATACACAACCTTTTGTTCTTGCAATGGATTATTCATGAAAAAGGGTTGCACAGGACTCACAAATTAATTGTAAACTGTACATAGACAATCTGAGAATAGGAAAGTTATGTAGTCAATAAAATTAAAAGTTTCTCTGATTAAAATCAAATCCGCAATAGGACGTTGACATACACGTTTTTATCTGATTATAAGTCCTTAACTATAAGATAAAGCAAATAAGGCATGAACTGGGTTAAAAATTGTTTTCGTTTTTTGATCATAGATAATACTCTCAATTAGTAATCTCTGTTAATACTAGGAGTTAGGGAACTGCTATGAGGATCTTGCTAGAAATGAGAGACTGAAAAATTATTAATGGTGTGTATCTACACCTCTGTATCTGAGACTACCTCTGAATTTTGATAACATTTAGTCACTAAAAGTTTACAAGTAAATATTAATTTCAATAATCGCCCTGAATCGTTGCCTTGCACCATAATAGAACCCCGTTTTTTTATCTAACTTATTTTTTGTATTCATATGAAGCAAATTAATTTAAAAACGTATCCATGAGAAGAAATTAAAAGAAAGAAAACATTTTCCGACTATTACCATCAACTTGACATAAGTATATAATCATATCGACGATGTATTGTCTGTTGTCGATAATTTCTTCCGTTTGTACATCGACTCAATGTGTCTGAATAGAGTTGAAATGAAGGATACAGCAAACTCTGACTCTTAAAAATTGGAAGTAAGTTAAACAATAAATCTTTATGATAAACGCCATGACTTCAAATTTTCAATCGTCAACGAAACCTTACTTACCGGTATGTGACAGTATACCCTTATCGCATACATATGAGGGTTATGTCTCTCAGTTGATTCATTATGAATGAACAATTCTTAAAACAAGGCAAACTATTGACAACAAGGCGATGAAACAAGAACATCAACAGTACCATAAATACCTATCATTAGGCATGTTCTGTATGTTCGGCATACGATGACGTCTCCATATGAGTAAAAAATTCTCGAGAGGGACGTTAAACAATATATAATCAATCAATCAATCAATCATCTTCCGGGGTACTTTTTCGTCCGGGAGTGATCTTGTAAACTACACATCCGGCTTAGGTAAAACCTTTTTAGGGTCAGTAGGCATGTTATGTAGGTTTGCGAAACGAAGTTCATTTTGCGCGCACATGCTTGCAAGAGCGTGTACGTGCAACACGTGAAATGACCGATTTAATTGATATAGGCGAAGTTTTTTTTTTTTTACATTTTTTATGAAATACTTTGAAACTCTTAATATAAGGATATATTAGTAGCATACACAATATGAAATGGTCAAAATAGATATCACGCGCATGCACGTGTTCTTCGCTCTAACTGGCTGAAACTATAGTCTCAATATCTTTCTTGTTTTTTGACGAAATCCTTTGAAATTTTGAACATAGCCATGCATTAGGATATCCTACAACATGATATATAGCAATAATCATGAAAACACATGCATGCTCCTGCGCTCCGATCTGATTGGCTTATACTTTAAATAGCTATAACTCTCTTGTTTTCAACCATACAGGATGGGATTGGAACATAGATAGATATAATGGACTTCTTCAAGGCCCGTGTTTGCTCTGCTCCTGATTTGTATTGTTTTAATGGATTTTTCAACTTGAATACTGTTTGTATATATTGTATCTTTCGTGTAGAACATATCTTTTTAAAAAGTTTTAAGTTATAGATCTCTCATACTCACAGCATGGTATTTTGTTTCAAGTTTATAAATAAAGCAATGAGAAAATGAAATCAATGAGGCATTCTTCCAATGATATTCAAAGTTTACGTAAAACAAGAGTATATTGTATTTATGTCAGGTATATAAATAAGAAATGAAAATTTGAGATATAAAATGACAATCTATATCTGATTGGAGTCATTGAGCAAATTTGGATACCAGGAACAAAACCTCAAATATCTAATTACACATAATCATCCATCAATTATCGAGGAAGATATAATACGTTTTTCCTAGTCTGTTTTTAAAACGGACTACAGTGTAGAATTACTTTGTAAATGCTTCTGCCCCAGCAACAATAAATGTTAGAAAAAATAAATGTAAATTTTGGTGATTGAAGTATAAAATATTGATATGACAAATAAAAATTTTAACGTGTCCACCTACACAACAGAATTTGTTTTTTCCTGAAGATAGGAAAATAATGAATGGTACTGTCAAATTAAACACTTAGTATTTTCAGATTAATTTTTTTTATTTTTTTATTCTCTGCAAATTGCTATAAAAGGATGTTCAGCATTTCCAAAAAAAAATTCAAAAGTTTGTTTTGTTTTTAAACTCATGCATGCTCATGTACCAAGGATGCAAGTCAATCAAATAAAAAACTTCAATAAATTTACTAAGAGATTTATACTTATAGAATTCTTTAAAAAGAAAATAAATCAAAAGATACGATCCAAGTTATAGAGACTGCATGCTGGGTGTCTGCATGCTGTGAGTATGAGGTAAAACATAGTGATTGAATATCCAGTTTCAATCTTATAATTAAGTACTGAAACGTTGGAAAAATCATTTTTTTTTTAGAAATAAACTGATCGAATTATTATCAGGACTACAAGGCTTTTACTACACCTAATAAAAAACCAGAGAAGGACTTTGGGCATGGTACAACAGATTTCACCGAAATGCTCAAAGCACAGAGAGGATTATCGGACTCCTTTAAAAAGTGTTGGAAATATAATTTTTTTCTCTATACATGTATTGTATCTTGAATTGCTTAAATATCACAACTATGTACATTGTAAATGCATTGCTTCATTTTCCGTGAAAAACTGAGTTTAGTATGTTTAAACAATAGCTCAAAGGACAAACCTCATTCAGGCTTACCTGTGGTCCCCGGTAACATCGTCAAATTTCGAACATTTATCAAAAGCTTAAAAAACTTCTATTATTAATTTTTTAATTCTTTATTATTTGAGTCATAATCTAAAAATGTCAAATAATAGATATAAGCAGCATACGAAACTGCGTGATGAAATTAGGGTTCTTTGATTTTCATAAATATCAAAAGAAATCACTGACAGGTACACACTTTAAAGCTTTCGCAAACACCGAGCACAGGTTTGTTCAGAGTCAAGTTTGATATATAATGCGTATATTATATGTGTAAGGGTTGAGAAGAAATATCTTTGTTGAACAACCTTGTGATCAATGTTTTCTAATTAAAAGTTTGTTGTTTTGAACCTCTTCGCTGTCTTTATTTACATGGGATTGACCTCTCTATGACATGTTTAGAATCATAACAAGCCACATGAATTTGTGTTGTAAACGTGTTAGCAACCTCTCGGTTGAAACGTATGCAGTTTTATATTGGTCAGCATGGATTTCTTTGGTTAATATTGTTATAGTTTTTCATTGCTCACGTTTTGTGAATAGAAATTTGTATTTGTATAGTTGATTGTAAATCTTGAACATTTAATTCTTTAAAAGGAAAATATCATATACATGTGTAACAGAGAAAATTTTGAGCCTCTGCTGGGGATCAAACCCGGGACCTCTGGCATGCCAGTCCAGTGCTCTACCGATTGAGCTAAAGGGTAAACCCTTTTACCCAACCTAGTAGGATGCCGTGTATCTTACACTACTACATTGTCCCCCTCCAGAGAATGAGATGTCCTCATCTCTTTTACCTGTGGGGCGAAGTTATAGGGGCAATCACTCTCACCCGCCAGAGAACACCCGGGTCCCAACGTGTGCGCTAAATGTAACAGAGACAATTTTGTGCCTCTGCTGGGGATCGAACCCGGGACCTCTGGCATGCCAGTCCAGTGCTCTACCGATTGAGCTAAAGGGTTAACCCACTAGCCCAAGCTAGTAGGATGCCGTGTATCTTAAACTACTACACATGTATCAAGAATATTCTTTTTATAGTATCTAATCTAAATGTCTCCGCCCATTTCCATGTAAAAGAGAAACAATTGTAGTCTAAGGGGGGGTGTTCTGTTCATATTTAGTGCGATGGGTGTTAGATATATTGTATTTTGATGTGTTTAATTATTCATTATTAATACACATTGCTTTGATTGGACATACTTTGTTATACACAATGAAATCAACCAAAATACACTTTGCTAATATCTGGTCAGTAAACCAAGAGTGTAAAAAGGGACCACGCTACTACACTTAAGTAGAATCCCCCTTTGTATAATACTTTTGTTTACTACTAAAGTATGGCATCTAGGAATATTGGTTCAATATCGAAGTTTAAGAATGTGCTGTATTTTCATAAATATAAGTTACCAGGTAGCACAATGATTAAAAAGTTTCTAAACATTATGATTTGAAATCATCTTTTTGTTTCGATTTTTAACATATTTTAAAATTCGATAATCGATTAATTTCTAGGAAGCACAGCTTTCGTTGGCATGCTATTGGCTATACATGTATACAATATTGGTAATTTATCATACCAACAGTCACGTGCATTTGAAAGAAAACACTGTTGACTGTTTAACTAGCTCATAAATAGACACAGTTTGATTTTTAGTTACTTTTCCGAGTTTTATATCGACAATGAAAGTATTCAAAGTTTGTCTCATATTTTTACTATTTACGCTGACAAAAGGAGGGACTTTGAAGGATGCCTATGACAGTTTACAATGGGGTAAGCGACTCGTGGGAAGGCTACTGACCACTATTGTTCAGGTCAGTCCGTTAGACTGTGCAGAAGAATGTCTGGTCCGTCCTGGTTGTCTATCCTTTAACTACAGACGGGCTGCATTATTCTGTGAATTAAACTATGAAAACGACAGTGGAACTGATACAAACCTGAAAAATGAAGACGGCTGGATCTTTGGTCGGCGGGAATCTTGGCCAATGGTAGGTTGTAATTCAATCATAAGTTATGATCATGAAAGTTTTGTTAAAGTTGCTTGGAAGATATAAAGAGAAAAAATGTCTTGTATCGTCAAATTTGTTTAAGGAATTAACAGAAGAATGTCAGCATAAAAGATGTGGAATCAATGAGAAATGTGTAATTAAACATCTACACAATACTGTCTGTGAGGTAGCATGTAAGTAAAAAGGATTAAATACATTGATCTTACAAACAATATATTGTTAAATGTTGTAAGTGATACAGGTCATAAGTATCTCTCAAGAAAGGCGCAACTTTGATCTGTAGAAGCCTATTGGATTGGAATAAAAATAGGAAAAAATACATTTATTTATTATCATTTTTTAAAAAATGTAATAAATAATATTAATTTTAGATTAAAATTGCTCATATTATTTGGAACTAATTCTTAAACTCATCTAATTTTGCAGTTTGTCATCCATTGAACCTTACCCTCCCAAAGAGCGCCAAAAGATTCAGTTCCGACCAAGTCTTAGATTTCGGTAGCAAACACAAATTGTCCTGCTTGGACAATATCAAGCAAACGGGGGACGGAATCATAAGGTGCCTGTGGGACGGAACTTGGAGTGATGTCAATATCACGTGTGAGAGTATGTATTGTTTTTCTGTATGCCTAAATGCTACAAAATTTCAGCATATTTCTTGCGTATTCATCAACATATCTCAGATGCTAAAAAATTACTCCCTGTACATGCACTTTAAAATGAAATTTGATTGGATAAAAGATTAACAATATAAGCCGTATAAATGGAAATTTTAGCGATAAGGAAATTTAGCGATCTGTCCTTCAAAATAAAAATTTCATTTTTAGATGTTATTTTAACGATTTTATGAAATGCTTATTAGATATGCTATTACATATAAAACGTAATTATTTTTCAGCAAATTTAATTTTAGCAATCTCAGTACCCTTGCCAATAATGCCTAAATTAAATCCTCGTTAAACAAGAGGCTCAGGGGCCACATCGCTCACCTGAGCAATTTGCTAGGAAAAACACACATCAGATCAGAACTGAAAGTTTACTGAGTTGGGGGGGGGGGGGGCTTGAATTTTACCCTCCAAGGCGGTCATGAATTGAACAAATTAGAATCTACACTACCTGAGGATGATTCCATATAAATATCACTAAGCAGGGATTTGAAGTACTTGAAAAGAGGATTTTAAAAGGTTTCCCTATATATGCCTATGTAAAAATTTGATCGGTCATTTTGGCAGAACCCTAGCCCCGGGGGTCATAATTTGTACAAACTTGAATCTACACTACCTGAGGATAATTTCACATGAGTTTCATCTTTCCTGTCTCAATGGTTCTTGAGAAGATTTTTAAAGATTTTTCCTATATATTCCTATGTAAAATTATGATCTGCCATTTTGGCCCCACCCTTCCCCCCGGGGTCATGATTTGAACAAACTTGAATCTACACTACCTGAGGCTAATTTCAATAATAAAATTTCAGTGTAGACAATGAAACATTTTTTTCTTCCCAAATAAAATGCAAATTGGTCTTATTTTAAAAGTTACATCAAACGGAGTAATACATTTTGATTTGTGACGTAAGAAACTTAAGTAATACGCTGTATTAATTTTTTTTACCCAATCAAATGACTTGTTACAACTAAATATATATTATCTTTAAATATAAAGGTAGAACACAGAACACGAATCAAATAATAAAAAGACTTCTTATCCAAGGAAATAGACGTAAAAAAATAATGGAGATTATTCAAATCATTCGAAACTAGTAGGAGACACAGACAAATTAAATCCTTAATTTTTTCAATCACTTTTTTCCGGAAGCCCATTTAAGACGCATCAAAAAATATTTTTGAATTCGTTATAACGATTTTCAGAATTCGTTATAACGAATTTAATTTGTTATAACAGATTTATTGAATTCGTTATAACGAATTTAATTTGTTATAACAGATTCATTGAATTCGTTTTAACGAATTTAGTTTGTTATTACAGATTCATTGAATTTGTTGTAACGAATTTAATCTGTTATTACAGATTTGTTGAATTCGTTATAACCAATTCAAGAATTTGGACATAACGAAATCAACAAATCTGTAATAACAGATTAAATTCGTTATAACGAATTCAACTAATCTGTAATAACAAATTAAATTCGGTATAACGAATTCTAAAAATCTCTTATAACAAATTAAAATAGTTATAACAAATTCTAAAAATCTGTAATAACAAATTAAATTCGTTATGACGAATTCTAAAAATTGTTATAACGAATTCAAAAATATTTTTGATAGGCCCTAAATGGGCTTCAGTACTTTTTATATATACATGTCATTTGTAATATTTGATCTATTACTGAGTATAATATTTGATCCATTTTTTTCAAACTGTTTTATTTTGAGTTTCTTCCTCTTAATAAAAGATTCCTGGTCAGATATTTTCTGTTATTGAACATTATTAGTAAATGTTCTTTTTGCTATTTGACTTCATCTTTTGAAGTTGTTTTATGCATGCAAATAAAAAAATATCTTATTGGATAAATAACGATGGGCGGTGTATGTGGATTAATTTATAAATTAATAATCAGTAAGTTATGAAATTGTAGAAAATATCATTTAATGCAAACATGAAGATTCCAAACAGTAATCATTCTTTGAAATATAAACAATACCAATCTATTAACTCAAGAATTTTAGAGGTGGGATCAGGTACCGACTAGAAACATCCGCCGTGAACCCAATGTATAGATCTAGTAGACTGAACAATGAGAAGTTAATTTTTGTCTTAGAGAGACATAAAATAGTCAGCAAAAAATACTATCAAATGAAAGGTTATAAATGTTGACAACGTCATTATAACGAAAATATGATTTACAAAGTAATGACGTTATCTGGGTTTGAAATACCGGTAAGCAATTTCATCTTTTCTGTGAGTAGCCCCTCTTTGTTTTAAATGATCCAAATCATGCTAGTGAAACATGTAACATGTGTAAGTCGACACTGGAAATGCTTAAGGAATCTCGCTTGTCAGATATTTGTTTTCCCTTGGCCCTTGTCGTTAACAGTCAGTTAAATATCCAAATATACTATTGATCACAAAATTTTTGCGACACTTTATTTTCAGTATTGTATAAAATGATTTTTGCAAGATCTGGTAACTGTATTATATAATCACTGGCAAAGCAGATGATTGCGTGGATTATTTTTTGTGAGGTCTGGCATATAAAAAAAAATTCTCACTAAAATTATGAATAGTTACTTAAAAAAAACAGACCCGCTAAACTCTGCAATATCTTTTATATTGACCTGATGGAAATATATTGAGTCGATATATCTATAAATGGACGTACATGTAACGAATATTAATTCATAAAATGTTGTCGATATATATCTGATTGTCGAGCAAAAGGCTAATGCAAGTGTTTATTTCTTGTAAAGGAGAAGATTTTGAGTGAGTTGTAATATTTTATGACAAACTGTTAATAAAATATTTTTAACACTTAACATGTTTATATATATGCCACCATAGTTAAGGGGGATGTACAAACCATATTAGATCTAGTCTGGTGTAAAATAAGAAATACCAAGAATGTGCTTAATACTCTACTAAACTAACCCAAAGTGACTTAAAGTGCTAATGCACTAATTACCTACTGTTAGAGACCAAAATTAGTAAATAATTTAGTTTATTTTGTTTTAATTAGGAGGAAATTAATCATGTTGGAATTGCGCAGCTACAGCATTCACGAGATGAAAAATGCATTGAAAATGGTGTTAGTTTGAATCATTGATAATATGGCTACAACCATTTGTTTTGCTTTTTTCTTGTAATTATCAATAATTCTTGAAAATTTGATTTTTCATATGGGTGCCTTCCTGAGGCCATGTGTTTATTTCGTCCGCCATTCCTCTGTCACACAGAGTTCGAATAACATTGATTTTAGAATAAATGCGACCATAATAACATCAAGACAAGAAATAACTAAGTAATAATCATTAGGTTATATTACTAACTGCTTTTATTTGTTGCATTGCATCGTCTGATTAATGGAAAAACGCGATTTTAACCAAACTCCAGCAAATCGGGAAAAACTGTTCTGTTTACAGCTCGAATTTCCTCGATAATATTATTCTACTGAGCACGTTGTTGGCATGTGCATATATCTGTTGTGGATAAATGCGATAATTACCATGATGTTATTCAATTTTTCATGGAACAAGTCTTGATAATTTGTTGGTTTCTTTAAAACTCAAGAAAAAAGATAAAATATGTCCTAAACATATGTGTTTACGGCGGTTTTTTTTTCTGTGGTGATAGAAGTTATTTTCAAATGGGGCACTGCAAGAAGGATGCTTAGCATTTTATTTGAAAATGTTAAACAATATGCGGTGCATGAAAAACAAATTGTAATTTTATGTCTAAATTGCGATCAGATGTATATGAAAATTATGTAAAAATAATGATATCAGGCAAACATGCGACCCACTAAATCATCATTCCGTTCTCTATTCGACTCCACCCCGTGGGGATCCGGGTTAGAATAGGTCCTCAGTACCCCCTTGCTTGTCGCAAAAGGCGACTAAATGGGGCGGTCCTTTGGATGAGACCGTATAAACCGAGGCCCCGTGTCACAGCAGGTGTGGCACGATAAAGATCCCTCCCTGCTCAATGGCCCTGAGTGCCGAGCATAGGCCCAAATTTGCAGCCCTTCACCGGCAACGGTGACGTCTCCATATCAGTGAAATATTCTGGAGAGGGACGTTAAACAGTATACAATCAATCAATCTATTCGACTCCTGTCAATACAGAAAAAGTCAAATGAAATTTACACACAAAAAAGATACGACACAAACAGATGAATATTTCATTATGTATGTAAAGGTTACAGATAACGATCATTGATCGATCTCATAAAATCTAAAAACTCCTAGGAGGAGTAAGCATCCCCTCTTTACCGATCACATCCTCACTTGAGCTCTGTGTAATGATGGGTTATCTAAGAGGATTTTTAATTCATTATAGATAATCTGTTGATTTTTTTATGCCCCGGTAAACGAAGTTTCGGGGGTATATGGTTTTTATCGTGTCCGTCTGTCTGTCTGTCTCTCTGTCCGTCTCACTGTCTCTCTGTTTGTATGTATGTCCGCAAAAACTTTAACCTTGCCCATAACTTTTGACTTTATGGAGCTATGACTTTCATATTTCACATGTGTATTCCTTGTGACAAGACCTTTCTTTGGGTACCATCGAATTAATTTAACCTTGGAGTTTTACCCACTTTTAGATGAAAATTTTAAACTTTTACTTTGGCCATATCTTTTGAACAGTATATACCAGGACATTTATACTTCATATATGTAATCTTTGTTGAAAGACCTTTCATTGGATGTCAACAACCTTGACCCTTTGAATTGACCTTATAGATTTCCGTACTTGTGAAAAAAACTTTATCATTGGCCATAACATTTGAACGGTAAGAGATAGGGCTTTCATACTTCATATAATAATGTTATCCTTGTGAGAAGACCCTTTATTGGATAGCAAAAACGTTTACCCTTTGACCTTGACCTTTGAGATTGACCTTCTTTAAAAAGCAAACCTTGACATTACTTTTTTAAGGGTAATTTTTATAAGGGCTAGTGCTTTCATACTTTAGATATTTTATCCTTGTGACAAGACCTTTCATTTGATTACAAGAACTTTGACCCTTTGACCTTGGAGTTTAACCTATTTTTGAAAAAAAAGGAACCTTGTTCATAACTTCTGAATGGTTAGGGCTAGGGCTTTCATGCTCTACATGATTATTCTATGTGGCAAAACCTTTCATTCGATACCAATAACATTCACCTTTTGACCTTGAACTTTGAGATTTTTGTACTTATTGAAAAAACTTTAACATTGGCTTACTTTCAAATTTCACAATTGTTTTCCAGTGAGAATACCCTACTTTTGGTACCAATTAATTAAATTTGCATTTTGAGAAAAGCTTTATCTTTGCTATGTTGCCATACGGGGGCATCAGTGTTTCACAAACACTGTTTTCACATCTTGTTTTTTCATATCTATAATGATGCATACGAAATTTAATCGTTATAATATCGTTTTTGCTATCAAAAACATTCTAAATAATGTTTTATAAAATGATTCCCGTACATAAATGTTACAATATAACTAGTCCGTACCATATTATCCACAATGGAACCTTATTTTATAAAGATCATAATAAGGAATTTTGTTGTCTTTCATAAAAACGTCATTAATTTGTAATAATGTGTTTCTATCAGGTATCCCTTTTAAAAGAGTCGAAATTGAATTTTATGGTCGTGATAATGACCTTATTAGCTTCATATATAGTTTATCAATGGACCGTATTTTGGATGATTTGTTTAATGGTTGCTTCCACCTGATCAATTCATAGGGCTTGCAGCGGGTGCGAACGGTTGACAAGGGATAGTTTATTCTCTCAGGCATCTGACCCACCTTTGGAATTTCCAGAGGGTCAGTGTTCATGTCCACTTCATATATTTATATTGATAATAGAATATGTTTATGATAGGTCATATATTTTTATTTTCTTTTAAAGAAACCCTTCAAATGTGCTACTACAGTTATATAACTGATGAAAAAAGAGATTGGAATGCCTCAAAAGTAGGTTAAATTATTTTGTGTTCCATGTAATCACTTCTTTTTAATTTTTCTCTGATTTAAGTTATTTTTATTTAAACAAAAATTTTCATAAAATAAAGACTTTTCTTTGTTTTCTAGAAAAATGATTCCATTTCAAAGCTTTAAGGCACAATGCTATTTTCACATATAATAACTTTGAATGTAAATTTTCCAGCATGCATGTTAACCATGAATAAGGACATCCATTTAGTTGAATGTTGTCTGACATTTTTCATACAAATTGTGAAGTAATTATTTTCTTACTGTGTTCTATTGATTTTCCCTTTTTTCCCTATCATGACAAGAGCATAATACGAGTGAGACTGGTTTAAAAAAAATGCTGATTAGTCTGTTTTGCAATGAATTCACTTTCTATGGTCTTTCATTACAAAAACATGATATTACATGTACAAAGAAATGAATACAAATCCTGAATATATCCATTCCATTTGAATTACAATACATGCTGATCATTTCTTTTGATATTGAACAATTTGATATATCTAACTAACAAAGTTGGGGGTCAATGTGCATATTGCATAATTTTACAATAATCTTGATCTTTTAGTATTTTTATATTATTTTTAATTTTTTGTTATTCACTTTATTTTTCACATATTAAGAATGACGATAATTATAAATGTAACGCTGTTCATATCATATATCTAATAAAATACCCGTTTATTAAATACTGTTACAGGAACATAACCTGTGGCAAAACCTTTCCAAATATACTATGGTTTTTAACCATGTGACCTTGACTTGAGGTTTGACCTTCTTTTTAAAAAAGTAACATTACTTTAAATTGGTAATAACTTTGAAAGAAAAAAGACAGTGCTTTCATATTAAACATATAATATATTATATGATCTGTGACAATACCTTTCTAAATAAACTATGATCTTCCAATCCTTGACCTCGAACTTTAGCCTACTTTTCAAAAGTATTATCTTATTATCTTAAAAGTATTTTCTTATAACTTTTGATTGAGAAGAGATAAAGCTTTCAAATTTGGCATGTTCATTACCTGCGACAAGATGTTATCGATCACGCTATTATTTTTGACACCTTGATTTTGACTTTCTTTCTTTTGTTTCTGCTTAAAAAGCAATCCTTATTGGTTAATGCATAATGAATCCGTTACTTTGTTTTCATTGTTTATAACACCGCATGTTTCATCAATTTTTAAACGTTTATAAATCATGTTTCCAATATATATATTGGGCATCTATTATCTATTAATTGCTATTAACGAAGTAAAATTGAAATATATATATATATATATATATATATATATATATATAGAAAGCACAAATAAATCCATTTTTACATGGATACCCACTTCCGCCCCGGACCGGGGTTGAACTCTCGACCTTCGGAATATATCTCCTAGCAGTGCAGGAACAGCGCGCTAGACCGCTCGGCTATCTAGGCAAGTCAGAAAACTTGCTTTCGATGCCGATGGAATTCTCGCGGCGCTGTCCTACACCACACGGTCATTGAGAATAGAATAGCTGCAATAATGTAGAGATTTTTTTTACAGTTTTCTGGATTTAAACAAAAAATTTTTTTAACAGAGGATTGTAAATTATTTTTACATTCAACTACAATAAGTTTTTTATTCACTGTAATGAAATTAATTATTATTTATAAAGACAGTTCACTAAATTTACAACTGAATAAAGCTTATCTGTAAACTAACATAAAAAACTGCCCATTTTAAGTGTTATTTTTATGAAATATTAATATTAATATAATATAATATATATAATATATAATATAATATATAAATATTAATATTAATATATTTGGATCATTGTAAGAAATGTTAATAAAATAGCCATTTACTGTTAATTTGAGCCTAAGCAAGTTTTTTGGAGTTGTAGCCCTCTCCCAAAAAAAAAAAAAAAAAAAAAAAAAAAAAAAAGGAGAGGGCTACATTATTGCAGCTAAGAATAGAAGTGAGATACAGTTATTTAAACATTAGTTTTAACAGAGGATTGTTACCAATACATGTTGTAATGAAATTAATTATTATTTATAAAGCACTATTTACAACAACTCTTAAACTAACATAACTGCCCTAAGTGAAGAAATATTAATATAGAAAGCACAAAGAAATTCACTTTTACATGGATACCCACTTTCGCCCCAGCCCGGGGTTGAACTCTCGACCTTCGGAATCTGTCTCCTAGCAGTGCAGGAACAGCGCGCTATCCTATGGCAAGTCAAAAAACTTGCTTTCGATGCCGATTTAATTTGTGCGCTGTCCTACACTACACGGTCATTGAGAATAGAAGTGAGATACAGTTATTTAAACATTAGTTTTAACAGAGGATTGTTACCAATACATGTTGTAATGAAATTAATTATTATTTATAAAGCACTATTTACAACAACTCTTAAACTAACATAACTGTCCTAAGTGAAGAAATATTTATATATATATATATATATATATATATATAATATATAAATATATATATGTAATATATATATATATATATATATATATATATATATATATATATATATATATATATATATATATATATATATATATATATATATATATATATATATATATATATATACTTTCAACTTTACTTCGTTAATAGCAATTAATAGATAACGATTATACTTTATAACGAAAACATTTAATAAATTAAACATTCATATCACTTTCCATTATTTTGATATAGACGAAGTGTGAAGAAGAAAATGGTTATCTATTGAAAATCCAATCAGAGGAAGAATACGCGTTTATAAATAAGACATTTGTTAAAAAGGGTATGTGCTTGATACAATCGACAGTTATCTAATGCCTTTTTATATAATACAATCATATGATTATCATTATCAAGGTCAAACATCCACTATAAAAAATTTTTCTGTTGTTTCTCATAATAAATGAATGTTTATCGACCCTTTAATCAAGAGAAAGAACAAAACAAATTGAAAGAGAAACTATTTAACGAGGCCCAATCTACTTGATTTGTGCATACAGGTATGTTTTCACACATCGTTCCCTCATCCCCACAATGCCAGGGGTCTAAAGTCATTACGTTCTCGTTGTACGCAACGTGTATTCTCAGGATTCCTGGCATTGCGAGGATGCAGTACCCTTGATTGCCTTCACAATACCAATTGAATACCATGATGTCACAATTGAAATGATGTAAAATTGCGCTTGAATACTTCGCTATTCTTGCAGTAGTAGTGACTGAAGATAACGAACGGTATTGATGCTCAAAAGCCCATTAAACAATACGGGATTGGAGAAGAACAAACACGAACCGAGCTGGGATCGGGTCCCATGGATGACTGAGCATCCCCTGCCGAACGGTCACACCCGCTGTGTGCTCCTTGTCATGATCGGAAAATAACGAAGAAACTTGTCGACAATTTAGTGTGTATAATGACTTACAATAAGTATGAAAACATCAGTATGCATTTGAATGATGAATTCACCATTAAACTTACGAAATTATGTTTTTAAACGAGAATACTGATATTCTTGTTTCAGCAACTTGTTTGTCAAAAATTTACCTCGTTTTAAAATTTGTTCATAATTATGTAGAGCGTATGAAATAAATTGAGAACTTTAAACCATAATTCCAAGTCATGATTTTTTTTTATAATTACAGCCTAATTATGCAACCAAAAATAACGATGAAAATAACAAGATATATGTATAGAAAAAAAATAAAAATAAATAAATAACCTTTATATAATCACTAAATCTAAAATTTCCTTTGAATTTTGATAAGAAACACGTGCATATCGTGGTCTTTTTTTCAAAGGACAACAACTTTTTTTTATTTATCAATTTCAATCATGTACGAGGGGTTATCAAAAAGCTCGTGGACTGAGGCTATAAAATTAGTACTCAGTAGTCTGTGCTTTCAAAATTTATATGGGATATAAAACAACAAAAAATAAAGAAATGTTGAAAATTTTAGCTTGATACGTTCATAATTTGCCAAATTATTATAAAATAAATTCGACATTATATGATCACCCGGCGCTGTTGCGTTTAGTTTCATGGCGTCCGACAACGCCATTTGATTTTTAATGTCCGCTTCTTCAACCTCATAGACTTTTGATGAGATTCTCTGGAGCTGACTAAGCACTTAATCCCGCCTTGTTTATATGACTTTACAATGTCATGAACAACGGTTTTCAATGATAATATAACATGTAAATAGATTTAAACAATGGGAGAGATCCTCACTTGATCGTGCCGGCATATTTTGTTTTTGGAGTTCAATATCTACAACACATGATCAACGTCATTTTCTGACGTGATTGATTTTTTCACATCTAGAGCTAAATCGACATAAACTGTCAATCCCCTTTCTTCCTGAATCTATTTTGACATTAAAAGACAAGTACTTTGGATGCATATTATTTCTCTGTAGCCAGTTTAAACATTTCTTAGGTCTATATCAGTATTTTCAGACGCAAAACTTTATAGAATGTTGTTAAAGGAAACCCCTTCCCCTCTTTTGACGTCATTTTCAAGGCCTTATTTGTTTGAACACTTCATGTAAAATCTACTATAAAATATCATAGAACTTCCAGAATGAAGTTAAAATTTCATATTTTATTTAACAATTGTGTCCCAACACATATGAATAAACGAGATTTTTGGATGCCACATGCTCATATCAGTAGAGTTTTTCTCAGTTACTCTTAGGTCGCAAAAACGTCGTGTTCGAGGTTGCACCGCCTGGACATACCATTGCTTACAAAATAATAACTAATTTATTAAAAAAATAAAATTTATGATTTATTGTTTATTCTGTCGATAGAAAAGATTATGCTTTTTAGATGGCGTTAGTCCACGAACTTTTTGATAACCCCTCGTACTTTAAGCATATATTTATGTGTACAATCACCAAAAATTTTCCAAATTTTGAAATTGCTCCATTCCCTTACATTCAAAGCAAGGTGAAAAAATTCAATCTTGATATTTTTTAGTATAGCCAATACTAATATACGAGGGTTGTCCCAAAAAGTCGTAGACAATGTTTATAACTTTTTTAACACGCAACCAATACTAACCAAATTTTGCATAGACATAATACATTCAATGTTCCTCAAAACTGTGAATTCTTAGATATATATATATATATATTTCATATTAAATATATTGGGACGATTTATATGAAGGCCGATATGGGCTGTCGGCGCACGACCAAAATTCGGAATAATTTACGCATATAACTATTACATTTGTTTTTATTTCTTTGGTACTATGTACAAGATAGAACTAAAATTTAAATCACTGAAACCAGAATCAAAATCTTAATAATATGTCAAATTTTCATATAGATAGCATTAGAAATAGACAACCGATGGCATGATTTTCAAAGTGTTGTTCGAATTGAGATTGATGAAAAAGACGTCGTCGAACGCGTACCCGGCGCACTGAAATGAAATAAATTGTTTTTGGTATGTTTTATATTCATCAGAGACGGAGGAGAAGAGTACAGAAAGGACATTACACACTATATTTTAATAGAAAAGTTGTTTCTTTATAGTATTAGATTCAAGGATAGTTTTTCCTATATATCGAAAAAAAATAGTTATTGCATGTAAAGTAGAGTCTGATTGTTTAACGCAGATATTCGGGAATGTTCTGGGCCATGAACGTCATCAAACAAGGTGTATTCTCTGCTGCTTAAAATGTAATGTGATCTTTCAACTAATTTAATTTTGACTAAAACTTGAATCTGCTTAAGAAAACGGACAGTAAGTAATTTAAAATATTTCCTTAGTTAAAAGTGGTTTTTCACTATAAAAAATATTCATTTGGATGTTAAAAGACGCATGTAAAGCAGAAAAGGGGACCATGACGTTATGAGGGACGTAAATTACGCTTGTTTTCGTGCGCCGATGTACACTTACATGATTTCTTTATTTTTTTTCATAGTTTTCTTATTTAATGTGGTATCGTAATGAATATTGAAATACATGATCATAAAATGTTACTCTTTGCTATGACAAGAAAAGAAATTTGATTTAGCAAAGAGAAAATAAACTATGTTCCCTGTCTACGACTTTTTGGGACAACCCTCGTATATATCAAAATTCCAAAATATTTTTCTACCCGTTTTCGTTATTTCAAACTAGAACATGGGCCTCGTTAAGTAAACTCAGACTTATAAAATAGTAGGCGAAGGCACAAAATGATCAGGAAATCCTTAAGTGTAAGTAAAACGATGCAAAAAGTGTTCCATATTAAGATTTCATATTTATTACTTTTTAAAATTCATTTTGTAGACTTCATCGCTTGGATTGGTGGGTATTCACAGATTTACATGGGAAAGTGTTTACTGATGAATGAAGACTCTGTTAAAAAATATGATTGTGCACATAAAACAAATGTAGTTTGTGAGTTTGATGAATGTATGACATAGCAGTAATCATATAGTTTGTGAGTTTGATGAATGTATGACATAGCAGTAATCATATTAAAGAAAATGCACTCATTCTCAAAATTATAACTGACAGAATAGATAAGCAAAGCATTACTTTAAAACGAACATGAAGGTTTTAAGTGTAGCATAGGTTCCAAAATATAAAATAATGAAAATAACTCGATACAGTCTTCTATGAGGATCATTCAAAAAGTTCGTAGACTTTTGTAATATCTTACTTATGCGCCCGGATAGATCAGGGCTTATATTATTTTTGTCCTGTCTGTCAGTTTGTCTGTCTGTTGTCAACTTTAACCTTATCCATAACTTTTGAACCGTGGGATATAGAGACTTCATACTTGGTATACATACTCTACTAATTAAGTTTTTTTTTCAAACGACACCAAAGTCAATGATCTTGTGACCTTGACTGTGACCTATTTGCTAAAAATAGCTATTAGAACTTTGTTGCCGCTGGGCGCATAATGTTTCACAAACATATCTTGTTTTATATTTAATGTCATATTATAACCAAATTTGGTACACACATTTTAGCAAAAGACTCAACTGAGCAAAAAAATATGAAAAAATCTAGTTGAAGGGCACAACAAGTATTTTCCCTTTCTCGTGTATAATTTTTAGAAAAAAAATTGTTTTATATGAAAACAAAAAATGACTGCTGAAGGCCCTGTCACATTTGCACCACACCCATTCTCAATAAAAGTGTGCATTGGAGATTTAAGTTTTGAAAAAATAAAGTTGTTGAATTAATAGATTTTTGTTATTAATTTAAAATTACTAGAGAAGGATATGGAAATAACGAACAGTATTCAATCTCAACGTCCATTAAACAAATATACAAAATAAGAGCAGAGCAAACACGGACCTCCGAAACATCAGAGGTGGGATCAGGTGCCATGGAGGAGTGAGCATCCCCTGCCGACCGGTCACACCCGCCGTGTGCTCGTTGTAATAATCAGGAAATAACGGAAAAAATCTGTCTCAATTCAGTGTATAAATAATGGACTAACAATTGGTATGAAAAACGTCAGTCAGCATTTCATTCAATGATAAATTGTATTTGCTGACAAGGTCATTGTATCGACCATAGAATTTACGAAATGATGACTTTAAACGAGACTGTTGATATTCTTGTTTCATCAACTTGCTTGTCAATAATTTACCTCGTTTAAGAAATTGTTCATACGTAGAGTTTACAGATTCCGAATTTATAAGTTTTCTCACGTAAATAATCAACATATTTTAATTATGCTACAAGGAATATAGACCTTTACTCAAATAATAAATGCTCGAAAAATGTACATTACCACTAGAACGCAAACAGAAAGTGAACATTATTCTAAAAATCTCTTTCATATTATGTTAAAATATTTTATTAGTTTTCTTTGATATTTGTTATTTTTTTTAGAAACAAACATATCATGAAATATCGATGGAAGTTTTTTTTTCCACGAGGAGATGAAAGTACCAGTATTTTTTATGTTGAATTGATCATGAAATTTATCTTGAAACATATAATCATCAAAAACTACTAAATATTCATTTTGAAAACTAAACAATTAACAGTGATTTTTCTGGAAAGGAAAGAAAATATACAGAAATAATAACCCTTTAACCATAAAAAAAAATTGACAGCCCTTTCAGAAATATCAAACTGGAAAGCACATGTCAAAAGTAACGTACATTTCAAAGTTAGGTCCCAATCTGAAACTAGAAAAATTCTTACACAGACTGCAATGTTGATATAACATAAAGTGCATTTTGTCATTTCTGTTATATTTATTGAAATTAAGAATTAGGAAATAAACATTAAAACGTTTAGAAAATTGTAACGTACATTAACAAAGTAGAAATTACGCAAACATTTTGATGATTTTCAGAACAATAAAAGTAATTCAAGTCTAAATGAATAATAACAAGTACTTACAATCATTCTGATCGATGATAGATTGAATTGAACTTATTTATAAACCAATTTATGTACTTTTAATGTAACGTAACGTACATTACAAACAGTATCTGTTCTCACTCATTTGAACATATCCAGGATCTTTTCCTTGTCATCAGGCAGCAGTTTCATCATTCTCTTGGATTTCCCGATGTACATTGGTTCAGTTACTTTACAAATGACATCTTTAACTGGTATCCAAAGGATGTCATCTCTTGCTGGCCACTGGAAAAATTGCTTTTTTTTTCTCCATGAAAATAACTTTCACTTCGTCATCGGAATGGTCGATTTGTAGAATTTTTGCGATATACCAGCCACTATCATACTTTGTAGCGATATATTCCCCTTCAATAAGGTTTATCTGGCTTCCATTTGTATTTGATGGTTGTTCTTTTACCTTGTCTGTTTCTGCAGCTAATTGTTCTTCCCCTTCTGGGTTTTTCCTCCGATTGTTGACCCAATTGTTCAAGCTCTGTACTTTCCACCCATGGTCAGCGTTTGGATCCTCACCAAAGAAACATTGTTGACAGTAGCAGCTCACCTCATTCCAAGCTACTATGGAATTTCCTTTCCCGATTACAGAATGGACTATGAAGGTACCTTGCAGAGGCTTGATATTTCTAGCAGATAGAGTATTTGCAGCTGAACTACATTCGTCAGATGATACAAAGAGAAATTTGATTCCTTTCAAGTTCGATTCCACTGCCCACTTATAAAAATATGCATGTTGGATAACTTTTCTGCCACTCCTTACAGCTTCATCTGCCATTCTCTTGGTGGTCCCCCCAAGACCATCACATGGGCCCTTTCCATGCCCCGCCTCAAAATAATTCCAACGCGCATTAATGCCAAATATTTCCTTGTGGTTAGCGACGGTGAAAAAAGTCTGTTTTGTCCTATATTGGCTTGTTGGCCCATCTGTCCAATAATGTATCACTTCAACATCTTGGTCAATTTCTTTGAGAATGGGAATCAACTTCTCCAGAATCCAGTGCACAGTTATCGCTGAATGGCTCATTTCATCTGATACAACAACGTAACTTAGATGCTCTAATTTCATATCAGTGTTCATAAAATAAACCACAATCGGATGAAGCGTTACAGACGTCATATTCCAATATGCAGATTGGATTTCTTCATTGGATTTGCAAGCGTAATTTTCAGCAAAATCCATTTGTACAATGAAATGATGCTTCGGGAGTTTTTCCTTTAGACTTTTTATTTCCCGATACTGTCTTCCAACTCTGAAAACATGGCTTTCAAAATCCCTTACTTGTGCTTCAAAGGTTTCTATGAATGAACTCCTTTCAGCATTCATTTCTACAATTCTTGTAACATTTTTAGTCTTCCCCTTCTCTGTGACTTCAATTCTCTTCCATTGACTGTACTTTACCTGAGCTGGTAGCTTATCTTGGAGTGTTGGCTTATCATTTTGCTTCAAAAATGACTCTGGATTTAATGGTACCTGCATCCCATTACTTTTCATACATCGAAGCAGTAACGCCATATTCTGTTTTGTGCACAAACAACAGCTTCTTGAAATCATACTCGTGTTGAGTATGTGTTTAGGTCTCATTCTGCAAAATGTTGCAAGTGAAAGTTCTATATTAGGATATTCCGATATGAACTTCTGATGCAAGTTGGATAAGTAATCTGTAAGTACTCGCGTTTGCATCTTTGTACCTGATTCAATCTTTTTCACATCTGCTTTACCCGGCTGTGCCCTACTGTTGTCATCTCTTTCAAGGAAAGATATTACTTCATTTTTGTACCTCTGTTGAACTCTTCTTCTTGATTTTCTTCCTATATCTAACCATTTCTTTATGGTATTTCTAAGTTTGTTTCTGTTCATCCCTGTTTTACTTCCTAACCACTTAAGTCCTTTGTATCGTTTAAGTGTATTTCCAGATGCAATAGCTTGTAACATTTGCTTCTTCACAGTTGACGACCCAGCTTTCAGATTTGCCTCTTTAATTTCACAAAGCAGAGCATTGCCTAATAAAAGCTTTCTTTTGACTGCCTTTCCTCTGCTTGGGGATATACCTGCCTCTCTCAAATCTCGGTCTGTTTTACTTCGTGGTGTTCTAGGTGACATACCTGCCTGCTGACGTTTTTGTAATCGTTCGTTTCTTTTTTTAAGCATTCTAATCTTCATTTTCATTTCATCAGTTTTCGTCTTCAGATGATTTATTTCTCTGTGAGCTTTTGAAACTGCCCTACTTATCCTCTTTCTAGAGGAACTTTTTTTTGAGGTGTTGAAATTCATTCTAACAATCAATTGCCTTTCTTCACCTGTAGACATCATATTACTTTCATAACCACTTGTCTCTCCTACATTGTCCTCTTCTACTTGCAAAACTTCTGCTTTTCTTTTTTCACGATGTTTCTTTACTCGCTCTGCATTCTGTTTGTTTCTTCTTTTTCTTTCCTTGCTTGACAACTCTGCTGCTGGAACATAATACTTCATTCTCCTTGATCTCTCCTTCCGCAAATAACTTTCACCCTCCTTGGCTTTCTTTCTCTCTCGATATGCTTTTTGTATTTCAGCTCGACTCAGCGGCATCGTTCTATAAAATATTACAACAATTAGAACTGATAAAAGTGTCATTTTCAACAGTAATATGTTTATTGCTCATTGGTGAAACGTACGTTACTAATAGAAAAATATAAAATGTATTATAACTTGATTGCAATTAAATACGTGTTCCCAATTCAGATTAGTTTTTCATCGTCAAAACATATCTAAAATTTAAGAATATTGAATATGAATCCTAGGAATCATCTTTGCTTTGTCATAAAAATACTCGTATTTCTCTTAATCAAAACACCTCTTTATTCTCATGTTTGAATAATCAAATAATCAGATTTATCTGAAATGTTTGTGTATAATATAAAACAAACGTTAATATAAAAGGCTTATTTAAAAAAAATTAGTAAGATAATTTTAGAAAAACAAACTAGATGATATTTAAAAAGTCTTAATATTTTGAAATGTACGTTACAAATTGTATCGTACATTTCCCCGACTGAT